GCAGCAGGCGGGCCGGGACTCGGAGGGCTCCTGGCCAAGCCATGGCGGGGGCTGGCCGGCCGGGGGCCGATCGGCGGGGCGGCGGGAGCCCGGCTGCCGGTCGGCGGGGCAGGCTGGGAGCTGTAGTCCTGCCCTCGGCGCCTGCCCGCTCTCGCGGTGGCTGCGGGGAGGGAGGCAAGCCTAACAGGCCGTGCCTTTTTTTTTTTATTTTTGCATAACGGTCACCCACTTCCGACTCCAGTCGGGCGGGGGGGGCGGCGTGTTTCCTCCTCCTCTTCCTCCTGCGCCGAGGTGAGAGCATCCTTCTCCCCGGCCCGAGGCGAGGGGGGCTGCTGCGGCCAGAAGCCGGTGAGGGGGAGCCTGGGCTGGGTGAGTGGGAGGGAGGGAGGGGAGAAAGCTTGGCACTGAAGGTGGAAAAGTTGATGCCAGCCGCTCTGGCAGGAGGAGGCCAGCTCAGAGCCAAGTAACTTCTAACGGGCTTGCTGGCAGAAGGGGGCAGGGGTTGGAGCAGCCAGCTCGCTGCCTTTCCCGAAGGGACTTTGCATGCCTCATCTCTGCGAGCAACAAACTGAGCCGGACGCCCCTGGTGCGAGGCTGGACTGAGCTCTGGAGGCAAGCTGTTCTCCCTTTATCCAAAAGCACGGCTCCTCTCGCACGGCAGAGAGGGGCCAGGCTTACTCCAAGCACCTTCGGGACTTTTCTCCAACAGCTGCGCCGCTGCGGAGAGAAGCAGCCCTTCTGCTAATGTCCATCAGAGCAGTGCTGTGGAGGGCCTGCCTGCCTCCCAACATGCCAAGGGTGCGGCCCTCAACCAGTGCCAGCATTTGCACTGATAGAGGAAATGGCTGAGCCCAAGGAAGGAAATTTATTTACTCTCCACTTACTCTACAGCTTTTACAGTTCTTTGTTTCAGACATCTCTGCTTTTTTCAGCTTGGCTGAATAAGCAGTAATTCTTTCTTCTTCGTTCATTCAACAGGTGCTTCTCAGGGAAGAGAAGAGAATTCCGAGACAAGAGATGCCTTGGCCAAGCAGAAAGAGAGACAAAGGAGCAGTAGCAGGTCTGTGCTGACACCTGAACTAATTTAGCATCTCTCACTTGAGGTTCCAAGCTATAGTGAAAGTACAGACAGTCATCTTAACCGCCCGTCTTTCAAAGCCACACGTCTTACAGACAGCAGTTCCTCTCTAAAAATGGGCTGAGCATCCATGTGTGACTGAGACAAGTCTGCTAGGTATACAATAGGGACAATGATGTACTCTCAGCACACGGCGGTTAAGAAGTGTAACTCACGCACGTTCACGAAGAGCTTTCAGGTTCTACGCATTAGAGATGGGCAGTCAAAGCATACCCAGCGTAGTGGCAGGAAGCTGATGGGGTACTATGTGCAAAAAAACGAAAAGCAAAAACCTTGCACTTGAGGCAAGGTTATGTGGTGTTTAAGGTGCGAGATGAAAAAAATTACACAGTTAGCCTCATCCGTGCCACTCATCTGCTTAACTGACTCCAGCAAATAACCACCTTCTTATTAACTATTTTTTACTGTCTGGCTCCTGGATGCGCAGGGATACAGACCCCCTCTGAACAGGTAGCACAGTGGAGGCTTAATCAAAGTTTCCAGCTACTGCAATAATTGAAATAGCTTGCTTTGCTGCTGAATTTTCCTGTTATTCACCAGACTCACCTAAATCAACTTTCTTGCCTGCAGCTGATTTCTCAGGGATTAATTAAAAAAAAAATTCAACTACACTTCATGTGGACAACATGGTCTATCCTGGCTTTTTTTATGATTAAATATGACTATTAAACTACATTTGTGCACACCACACACACAACAAAATATCCTTATTTCAGGTGCCAACTAGAAACACTCAGAAACACTGGTGCGTAATGCTACTACCTTGCCCATAGGATCTGGGGTGCACCAAACTTCTGCTGCAGTCAAATACCAGTATGCGAAACCAGCTTGGACAACTAAAAATGTTTCAGCGCCAGTCCTTAGCAGAAACAAAATGTGTTTTATCTGAATGGTTTGGGTTTTGTTTTTTTTTATTGTTTCTTTTAAGATAAGAAAGAGCCTGATGCTAAAATTGCCAAAACTGAGGAGGACGCTTCAGATAAGGAGGAAGAAGAGAAGTCCACAAAACCTCCAGCTGGGAGTTCCAAGTCTGGATGGAAGAACTGGAAGAAGACAAAAGAATCTGACTCCGGTGGGGAGGAGAGCAAGATAAAGTATTGTCACTGGCTTCTGAAATCGGAACCAGAGAGCAGGCTCGAGAAGGGAGTGGATGTGAAAGTAAGCACCATACAGCCATCCTTACTCAGCAAAGTATAGAAGTAGTTTCACTACTATCTAGAGCATTAGTGCCTGAATGCTGAGTTACAGGATCAGACAATTCAGCTTGTTTGCAATATTAACACTGTTGTGTCTTTATTTCTCAAAAAACATTTGACTTCCTGGAAATAGAAAGACATAATGTTGTTCTCTTCCAGGGTGACAACCTTGGGGTTTGATACTTGTAATAAAAGAGGAAATGAGGTCCTCAGGATGCTTAGCTGTTGATAGCAGGGGCAGCATCTATTTCAGACTCTGCCTTTACACTGCTGCAGTGTTCCTCCTTTGTGAAGGCGTTTCTTTAGCCCCTGTGGGAACCAAAAAAAATTGTGTCAAGTTTGTACTATAATTGAAGGAGCTACTAGGAACAAATGTTTAGGCACAGTGTAGACAATGAGATGATAAAGAGCAGACTACCTCCTGAACTTAACCTGTGTTTTCATTCCATTTGGCAGTTCAGCATTGATGACTTGAAAGCTCAGCCCAACCAGACAACCTTTTGGGATGGAGTAAGAAACTACCAGGTAAGGAACACATGTCAAAGATGGAGTCACTGAAGTAGCACTAGAAAAAAGGTGGCTTTCCCCACAGATGACTTGTTCCCTTTGCCAGAAGGATTTCTTTTTGAGGCACTCTGTCTGTTTTTACAGGTGCATTTTGTCCAGAGTCAAAACTCCTGCTTAATTGCCTCTAGGTCAAAGGTAGATTCAGGCTGGGTAATGTTCTGTCAAATCATCCAGTTTTTCTTTAGCTAAGACCAGCCTTTATTTCCCTTGACACCTTTTAGCTAGTCTGTACTTGCCCAAACACTGTGCCTTGTCAGTGTACAGCTTTCTGTTCCAGGCCTCTCTGTGAAGGAAATCCATGTGTGTTTCCCCTACTATATATGATCTCCCCACTATATATGCTTCCCCCTCTATATATGATCTGCTCTGCTGCTTGTTTGCTGACAGCTAACTTAAGCCTTCTGCTGTCTCTGAACGAGGGTGGCCGAGCTGTTCAGTTCCCACATACTTTCTAACCAACAGGACCTTGCTCTTTAGCCTCGTTTTTACTTCATTTCATTGCAGCACAAAATGTGTACAACTGTAGGAAACCTTACCTGAGTAGCTCTGAAGCACACATACCTGTCTTCTTGTTAGTTCTTGTTCCTAGCTGCTTATAGTGAAACCCTCAGAGTTTGATACGAAGAGCTCAAAGTCTCTCATTCACACCTGACAGGCAAGGAATTTCCTGAGAGCCATGAAACTTGGGCAGCAGGCCTTCTTCTACCACAGTAATTGTAAAGAGCCTGGCATTGTTGGCATTGTCAAGGTAAGTCCCTCTTTCTCGTTCTGTGTTTCAGGGGAGGTGGGGAGGGAAGTAATAAGGGATGGCTTATCAAACAGCTCATTAGCCCTACTTCTGTCTCAGCACCAAAGGAGTGCAAAAGTTGTCCAATCAGAGCAGCAAATGAGCCTAGAGCATCTGGCTCAATGCTACATATCACAGCAGGGCTGACTCAGGCATCTTTCCCCAGAGAAATGGAACCAAACTGCTGCTTTCTTGCTGACATTTCAGAGCTTTTCCAGCTAAGTGAAGTGTTGCTCCACACTCTGATTAAAATATGATTCACTAAATTCTAGTCATCTGAGCCTGCAAGGCAGTAGTATAAAACCAAGGGCACAGAAAATCTTTTTCTTTAAGAGGAAAACTCGTCACAAAGACTATCATCATCTAACCAATTTTCCTCCGTTGCCTGTGCTCCTTCCACATTGCTCTCCAAAGAGGTGATGATGCTTCAGCCATACTATTCTGCAGTCCTTCAACCCAAGAAATGTAAAGGAAAGAAATATATCGCACCATTAGAATGGAGTTCAGGGAAAGCGAGGCTGATTTTTGCACCAGGATTATTCCTTATGTCTAGTCACAGCTTGCTCAAGGGCGTTTCATACCCTTTGCTGACAATAGTTTTGAACTGATGGGAACTTGTCTCACATTCTTCTCCCCTTCTGCTTCAGATCGTAAAGGAGGCATACCCTGATCACACACAGTTTGATCAGAAGGATCCTCATTATGATTCCTCCAGCAGAAAAGAGAACCCCAAATGGTCCATGGTAATGTAGTAAACTAAATACAGCTGTTTCAAGCTCTGTGTGCAAGCCAAGTGAAGGTAGAAGCCTCTTCGCATCATACTGCCTATCTTCTTAAGTTTCTGTCCTGGCCTAGCTACCTTTTTCTCTCAAGAGAAAATCCAGTCCTGATTGTTTTCTTTACCTTTTCCCCTCTCTCTTCCAGAAGGCTGCCAAAATGCATCTCCCTAAATTTTCAGATCTTACTTGGATGCAGAGCTGACCTCCATGCACGGCAGAATTCTGGGTTAGGAAAGAGAACAAGCATCTTTAAGAACCGCTCTCAGTCTACAGCAAACAAAGCTGTAGTTTTGAGGCACGCTAAATTATAGGGAGGGGACTGTTTGCAGGCTGACTACATCCCACATCTTAATTTTTCTATTGTCTGTGACAACATGAATGTATGTTGCTAGTGCACAGTGCTAAGATTCATGTAAACAAGTCACCTGCCAGGAGTATCTATCCGAAAGTTCTTTTAGTCTTGAGCGAGGAAAAGCCTCCATACCATTATAAGGTAGTGCACATCAGTCATTTGCTTCAGTTTAAAATCTTTATCCGCCCAAAGATCTTATGTGACATCTGGAGGCTATATCCTTCTCCAACCATGCTTCTTTGCTGCCCATCGCTCCCCAGGTGGATGTCCAGTTTGTGCGGATGACAAAACGTTTCATCCCCCTTTCTGAAATCAAGGCTCACCACCTGGCACATAAAGCAGATGGAGGCCCCCTAAAGAACATGATGCTCTTCACAAGACAACGTCTTTCCATCCAACCACTGACACAAGGTAAGAGCCGCCTTCTCTAGACTCTTGGTGCCGTTCCCTCAGAGGCAGCCCTCACTCAGACAACTTGGAAGTTCCACTCATGGCTTTTTCTTCCTTACCTTTTCAACGCAGAGGAATTTGATTTTGTCTTGAGTTTGGAAGAGGAAAAGCCACACTGAGAAACTGACAGCAGCGCAGCTTCTACCCGGCCCGCTGATGCCTCCTCCTAAACCAGCGTAATTCTCAAGTTTACTTGCTCAATCTCAGCACCAAGAACATGCCCGCACATGATTTGCAGCTACATGTCCCTTATTCTGACACACTGTTATTTTTGCTTATTTTTAAATAAAGCCTTTTAGAATCAATTGCAGCTACTCATTTTTAATAGTGGAAAAATCTCCAATTTATCTCTCGAGGGATGAAAGTTACATCCTCCTTTAGGGTGTTTACTACAGGATCTAGTGCAGTTCCATGTACTGCAGAGGCACATTCTTCTGCAGAAAGGTATCACTAAGCTGCTGTCTAGAACAAGAAAATTTAGATGTATATACATATCCAGCCTGATTGCTGCAAAGCAGATCACAGTTAGCTTCCTGCAGGTACAAAACCTCCAATGTTATTTTAGTACTGACATCAGGGGAATAGAAGAAAATAAAGCTAGCTTGCTAATTTTTAGGCTACATGGGTCCTCCACCAGCACAGCTTCTAAGCAGTGACATAGCTTAAAGAAAGACTAAGAATTTACAAAGATAACAACGGACAAATTCCTTGAGCATGTTTGGAGGGCTGCACAGTATGGCACTAAAGAAAGATGTCTCAATACTGTGAAAAAAAACCAAAACACCCCCCCCCCCAAACAAAACCAGACCGAGGCCAGGCAATATAAACCATATCAGACAAACTCATGCACAGCATTTGACAGCCAGGGCTGGCTCTTTTTAATTGGAGAGACAAAAAAACCCAAGTTTTAAAATACAGCCATTGAAAAGACAACGAATTAAGAAACATGTAAACACAGCAGAGGCTTAATTACAGGTTGCACTGCTTGGTTTAGTACTTGTACATTCCCCCCTGCCTGACTCTGCCTGGGAGAGAGGGAATGACCCAAGTACTTAACAGAACCACCCACCTCAGGGGTACATGACTTCTCAAATAGTGTCTGCCCCTTACCATGCTAATGAAATGCTCTTCTATAGTACCTTGTCTTGGAGTGACCTTATGCTGCAACTTCTCTCTAAAGATGCTCAGCCCATCAGCTCCACCCCAGACAAAGAGGGCCTAGTGGGTAACAGCTTGAATGGTCCATTTAGATTAAGTAAAAAGGGGGATCATTTCTAAATTCTGGTTCCACAAGTAGGGATGCAGGGGAGAGGGGCACAGAGTAGGAAAAAAAAAACCCCCACAACCCAACGTATAGGCTCATGCACCTTTTCTGAGTAAAGCCCCCAGAAGCGATGAACAGATGTTTAACAGAAATCTCCTTAACAGTGCATTGTCTTGTCAGACAATTATCTTACATCCAGGACTGATGCTGTTCGGCCAGTAAACAAAACACTCCTGGAATGCAGAGACATCTTCATCCACGGGGTTTCTTTAATACCGCATGGCCTACAATCAAGAGGAATAGGCAAGGAAAAAAAATTCTAGGCAGGATGGGAGTTGAGGGAAAGCTAGAGGGTGGTTAGGGTGCTGCTGTGCTCAGCTTAGCCATGGAAAGATAGTCTGCTATCCCCAGGGGCTCCCAATGGGAGCTTTGCTTGTCTCTCAAAGATTGTGTATTGCCACAGCACAGGTGGTTCCCCCTACACAGAGCAGGGAGTAGAGTGAGTGTCAAAAGTAACATCCAGATTGCTTTGCCGTGTGAGACCTGCAGCAGGTTACCACCTCTTGCCCTGGCATAACAAGGTAGTTATCTAAAGTAAGCTTTTGCTTCAGTCTTAGGAAGACACGGCTCCAGCCCATGGCACAGACTTCTCATGTAAAGAAAAGCAAGCCACGTCTTCACTATAACAGAGCAGAAACATGGTGTGACACAAGCATTCAGCAGAGATGAGATCATTAGTGTCCTCTACAACAGAGCGAGACTGTCCAGCTCTACTAAAAACCACAACCTTACACGTGGTGAGTAAAAGTTAACTTACTTTGGCAAGCAGAAACACACATTTATCACTGAAATACAGTAGCTGTCTTACTAGATAAAAAGCTCCCCTTCCAACCCAGGCCCCACTCCCTCCACCAGCACTGTTCTACTAAACAAAGCAGAAGATACTTCCATTTCCCAGCTGCAAGACAACTGTTCTACATTCAGCTGTAGGACAGAGGCAGAGGACAGTCATTCCAGAGTCAAAAGGAAGCTGGACAAAACCCTAAAGAGCCACAAACTCACAGGGAAATCCAGACAAATCCCACTTGATAGAGCTCATATCCCAGCATTTAGTGCAGGCTTGTCTCTCCATCTGGTGGGAGGTCTAACCACCTGCTTCCTTGATGAGCATCTAAACAGGAGGGATATTCTCCAGACTCAGTCAATCAAGTCTACAAAGCCACATCTAATTTTTAATGGAGGAGTGACTCCCTTCTGGGAATGTTCTCATGATTCTACTTAGCTGAAGACTAAAAGCAGCTTATCTTAGAAAAGAAAAAACCCGCATTCAGGTTCTCAGTTCATGGCATACCCTCAGACCTCACTGGTGACTTCAGCTCAGGGGCCTCGGGAATATGTCTCTGGAATCAGAAAGCTCTACCATCTTTCCAGTTGCTGCTTGGCTTTATCTAGCAGCACACACAGGCCATGAGCTTCTTAAAACAATTGCATCCACTCTTCTGTCCTTACTAATCCTCATCCTGCAGGCGCAAGGGAGCAAACAAAACAATACACACGTGTTTCTATACTGCCGTCTGTCCCTACTACAAAGCCTGCTCTGTCACAGGGACACAGACACGAGCAGGGCAGCGTGTGCAGCGTAAGCCCGCTCCCAAGACAGCCCCCATTTATTTCCCATGTTCCAAAACTATACTCTAGACCTCTCGAGGCTGGTCTGCCCCTGCTCTGCAGCAGCAGCTGGGACCTGTATGAGTGCGGCAACCAGAGACCGAATCTCAGGGGCACTCGGGCAGCTGCCGGGACAAGACTAGGAAGGCACTGCTCTTGGCCAGGAGCCTTCCCGTCCCCGCTTCTTGCCCACCCAGCAGCACCGAGACCTTCACCGCTCTGCCCAACCTGTGCCACCTCCTACTGCAATAGCATGCCTCACTCCCTCCTACTGACGCAGCGCGCAGTCAGGAGCTCCGCAGCAAGGACACAACAGCACGCCTGCTGCCCATGCTCTGCGCGGCCGTGCGGCGGTCCCAGGGCTGAGTCAACTACATTGTGTAACTGTTTGTGACAAGGAATCCAACACCAGCATGAAGAGGAAGGGGAGGCAGCGAGGGGATAACGCTAAGCCATTTCAAGTAGGCCGCACCTCAGTCTCCAACTCCCTCCTCTACCTTCCAGCTAATCACTGTGTCATTTTCCCTCATGAAGATTTCAGAAAGGCAAGAAAAATATCCATCCTACGCAGCCCCAAAGCAACCTCCACACCACTGGGAAGAAGCAGCAGATTTGGCCTTCACTTGCTCTCTCCCTGCCCGCTGCCACACTAAAAGGCTCTCGGGGCAAAGAGGAGATCAGGCAGCTCCGCAGCCTCCGGACACATGCCTCAAAGCAGCCGACCCCAGAGGAATGTAGTTGATTGGGAAGCACTGAGGTACCTTCAACTCCGCACCACCAGTGCTCCAGCTTGCCTTGCCCTCCCATCCCCTTCCCACCCTACAAGTCCTTTGAAGAAAGGAATTAAGTCAAAAACAGATATTTATTTTCCATGAAGTCTCTGAAGTGTTTTTTTCTTCCTCCTTGCTGCTGTCCCCACTGGCTCCACAGCAGCCTTCCTCTGCATGGCCTCTCACTGCCGGCCGTTGTTCTCTGCAGGCTGGCTGGGGGTCTTGGCCTCGGTGTGTGAGGATGTCCCCTCAAACCGCTGAGAGGCGATGGCTGCTTGGTGGGACATGCTCTTCCTCACTATGTCTCCTTTCCGCCAAAGCACCACCTCCTGTAGTAACACAGCCAGCAGGGCTTGTCAGGGCTTGTGAAGACCTTCTCCTGGCCCCACCCAGACCCAAAGGGCTGAAAGAAGCCGCCAGGTGAGCAGCTTGCACCCAGGGAGAACTTGGCCCGTGCTGGCATGTTCCACCCACAGGTGCGCGCATGAGGCCACTTGCAGTGGCAAGCAGAGGCCTCGCAATGCAGCCTCCCTGGAAACGTGGGTAGAGCGCTCCTCCCCAGGATCAGAGCACGCAGGGGCAACCCACTGGACATCTACAGCTCTGTCCTATTGCCGTTGGCTACCACATTGGAATCGATGAGGCGAAGCACAGAAGCTCCACACAGGGCGACAGAGCCGAAAAGAAGTCCCAGGCAGGGACCCCCTACATGCATCCCCACCACCACGCACATCCGACCTGTGTAGACCATTCCTTCTAGACCGTCTTTGCACACTCTTAATTTGTCTAGTCCTTACAAGTATTCAGTCATGTACATGATTCTCCCACATGGGAATCTCAAATTCCCACAAGGTCCTTATAACATAGCATCCCAAGCGACAGTCTACAGGTCCAGGAAGAATGAACAGCTCTGTTTCTCACCTGCTGTTTAAAGTAGCGTCTCTCTTCCTCATCGATCAGCACCAGATTGAGGTAATAACGTACTGAGAACTTCTTATTGATGTCCCTCATTGTCGGAGTCAGCTCGTAGCCAGCCAGAAAGAGTCTGATGGGAATGGACTCCCCTACAAAGTGCACAGAACCATCAGCACAGACAGAATGCACAGATATAAACAAGGAGAGCACAAGCAAAACAAAATCTTACTAGGCCAGAAACTTTGTGACCGTTTCCACAAGTGGAGTAAGAGGAGTTAAAAGACCTCAAACTCCCTTCAAGAATCAGCATGCATGGTCCATAGCCAGATCCTGCCCTTGCTGACAGCTATTCCATCTCCGCTTTAACAGCACAGGACTCGTTTGTGACCTGCATCAAAACAGCACTGCAGGAAAAAATGAGTAAGGTGACATTTTCTCTGGCAGGTGACTCTGCTGGGCAATGGAGCTGGAAAACAAGTGGCACAGGAGATTGGCACAGAGCTAGAACACCATCTTTCTGCTCCAAGTTGCAGCAATGCCAGCTGGTGGCCCATGCCAACAGTGAATTTACATCTATTCCTGGTTCTGCCACTGCTTCATCGAAAGAATTAAGTCATTGCAACTCATTATGCCTCAAGCCCCCTCATCATACCAGAGAAGGAAGGGGATCATATTTAATCACCTATATAAACTGCTGTTGAGTCCACCAGTGAAATAGGATGCATACTACTACTGAGCGCACAGATTCAGCTGAAGATACTGCAGGACTCGCATTCCCACCCCAAAAGACTTCAGAAGAGGAATTCTGAAGGGTTCATCTGCCTTCTCACCTCTCACAGGTGCCCCATCCATGATCTCATATTTAGCTATTGTGTCGTTCTCATGATATACGTTGGGTCCGGTCCCTGTTGTTTCTCTCTTGATGATATCTATCTCCATGTGTTTGATCTTGATTCGCACCAGCAGGAAGTAGATCTTCCCGACAATCACATCTTTTAAATGATACCTAGCACATGAAGGAAGAAAGCACCACAATCAACCACTGCGCAGCAGACCAGAACTCGGACTGAAGAGCGGGAACTTGCTTGTCAGGCACTTTGCTCTTATCCACAACCCCAGCTGTAAATTTCAGATAGCATATCCACAACCACCTCCACTAGGCTGTTGTAAACAGCACTTCATCTTTCATCCTCCAGTCTTTTGGAAATCGACAGGAGCATGATCAGGTAAATTAAAAACAGAGTTTCAGGCTGAATATCTGCAAGAAACCCCCACGACAGCAAAGCCTCCAAACCAAATTTTTTAGGTCAACTAAAACTAACCCAAATGTTACACCGCAGGGAGATTTGCTAGCATCAGCTGGGAAAGATGCATTAAAAGTACTTTAAAAGAGCCGTTTCCAGCTTCTGTGCCTGAATTAAGGTCCCACTTCAGCTGTATTGTCTGGGAAAAGGCAGACGTTATTCTTTGAAGACACTTGGAAATACTGGTCTTGCCAAGGATACAGGGAATGTGAAGTTACTGCAACAACCTCACGCTGTGCTCCAAGCTCAGTAAACCACAGCCATTGCTTCACACTCCTTGGTCCAGAGAGTACATCTATGGGGCAAGGAGAGAAACCCACAGATCCTCCCTCAGCCAGGATCCGAACTGTCTGCCAGCCTCGCTGGAGCGCATGAACAAAGAACCCGTTTGAGAATCACATGCAAGACACATGCCTTAGGCTTCCAAACTAAGCCATCCCCTGTAGCAGATGGTTCCCCACAGCCACTGGCTGCTCTTGAGACACTTACTTGGACTTGTTATACTCGAACTCAATGTGCAGGCAATCCTCAATCCCCACCTCCATCTTAATAGAGGAGTTGAGCTCTGGGTAGGTGCTCAGAGTGTGCACAACTATGTCCATCTCCTTCACCACATCATTCAGTCTGCGGCTGACAGTCGCTCGGAGGAAATACCTGCAAGGAGAGTCCCCCTCCTATTAGGGTTGTACAGGTAGCAACAGAGACGAAGCAGGGAGGGACGTGGGGCTGAATGGATTGCACTGGGGTATCCAAGCAGTCTTACTGGTACCCTGGCTTCTGGAGCAGCCAATACACCATGTTGGAAAAGACAGAAGGGAATTTTCAAATGGAAAAGCAGACTCTTCTAAAACTTCTCTCAGCTTTCATGCATTTGTGAGCCTAAGTTACCTCAGCACCATTTTGGGGATCTGAATAACAGCTTGCACATGTTAAAACCACTGCCCTTTTGCAAGAGATTAGATCTCACCAGTCTCCACAGACACCTCTTTCTGCAGATCTCAGAATTTTCCAACCCCCCCTTCAAAGCCCATGACTGGACTTCAAGGCAACTGGAGTGCCTAGATGTGAAATACAGTTTGCAACATATGAACAAGATACAAGCTAGGCATCTGTTTGCGTATAGAGCACAATTAAAGTTGACAAGACTGATTACAAGACAGCGAAAATGTCCCCATTAGAGACTAAACCGAACATTTTCTTTTAGTTTTTGAATTACCAAACAAATTAGAAAGTATTTGGTTGATTCAGAAGGGACTGATTTCTCTTACCACTGAAATGGGACAAAACAAGTTCAATAAAGCCTGATGCATGCTTATAAAAGTAGAGCCCTCAAAGACAGCCTTTTACAACCCAGCCCACTGAGATTCATTTGGAGTTACATTCTAAGCTTGCAAGGATGTCTGGGAAGGGATGCTGCACTCCAGTATCATCATGGTAGATATCAGCACTTGCACACTGCACAGAACCAAGAACTGGGGTCAGCAAGTGGAGGAGACTCACCGTAACTTCACGTTCTGCCCCGTGTAGGACTCATAAGGTTTTTCCACATGTGTGAATTCGAAGTCAAATGTCTGCGATTGAGTGAATTCACCAGGACGGGCCAGGTCTTTCACTAGAGATACGAACTCATGGTGGTTTCCTCGGTCATAGTAGAGTTCTAGGAAGACATAAGTCCAGGTTAAGCAGTGATGCTTAATCCCATGTGACGCAGTGAGGAAAGGCAGGAGATTTCACAGCTATGAGCAACTCTCTTGTCCAGATCACTACTTCTTTCACCACTGTTCAGATAAGCTACCAGGGGAGCCTGTGGCTGCAACATACTGCACTTGTGGACCGGTCTCCATAAGAGCTAGGTGCAGGCCAGAACTCTCAGTCCTGAAACAGGAAGGAAGAGGTCTGCACAGCTTCACCTACTACAACAAATCAGGAACTCGGCTTGCCTTAGAGTGACATGGGTCACCTATCATCAATATTAATTACGTTCAGGCTGTTTGAGAAGAGGACCCAGCAGCTCACACAATCCCTTCCAATAATTTTCTACACAATATTCCACGCCAAAGGCATTGCCACGGTAAAGAGAGGAAAAAAACACCACAGCTTCTTTGGAACAGCAAACAGTGACAGAGCAAAAACGAAGGGCTAGGAGGCTTCCAACTGTTCCTGCTTATCCTTTAACAAAGACTTTGGGTGGTCTTGATTCGCACCAGGAAATAAGTAACAGTGGAGATCCTCACCAATTCTACATAAAGCCAGTGTTCAGTGCATGACTACCAAGTGTGTGGGGAGCTAGTTGAGTCAGCTATTCCACCAGCCCCTGGATAAGACATTTACGGCCATGTGAACACTGGTGAGGGAAGAGCATTCACCTTTGGAAGCACTGTTCAAACCAGCTCAAGTAACCAACGTGGCCACATTGCTTCAGTTTTCCCCACAACCTTCTTGCATCAGCAAGAAACAACTACAGGTTTCCTCGTTTAATGAAAGCAATCCTCTCTACAGGTCCACAAAGTTTTCTCCCTTAAGTCAAAGCAACAGAAACTTAAAACTCTGCAATTTGCATTAACAGCTCTGCATTACACGTAACCATCAGTGAAATCTGCCCTTCCCAACCCTGCGTGTGAGCTCTGTGACTACAAGACACCCACACAGTCCTTCTAAAAGGTAAAGCCTTAGCCAATCTGATACAGCAAGATGAGGAAAGAAAAACCTAAGTCATCAGACAAACATATACAGACAAGTTCACTGTCAGCACTAAACTGTGCAGAGGAGGCTTCTGAGAGGTATCAGTAGCGTTCAGCAACTGCAGTGAGACTCAGTTCTCCGCTCCTTGAGATGCACGATGAGATTTCAGCTTTTAAGTAATGTCTTTTCCTTACACCTCTTTGCTCACCTTGTCTCTGTAATGGAAATATTGGCACTAGAACACCCCTCACTTAGGCAGAACAGCGAGTGCCATCAAGCCCTTTAGGCTGGGCAGGCAGGTGACATAAATAAACCAACTGTCTCTGCATTGAATACATGTCCATTGAGAGGAAAGTGCTTGTTGATGTGACAGGGAGAAGCCACACGCCACATAAAAAGAGGAATATATCATCTGCCCACACGATGCAGAAGGTAACGATCGAATTTAAAGCAAGGGGAGGCAAATGTCAGTGTACTAAGTAAGTTCTCTGCTACCTCAGAATGGCACAGATTGGCGTTCTGCAGCCTTAGGATTGATGTTTCCCACACTTCAGAAGACATTACCATGTCAAACAGGTATAAGCTGTAATTTCAGGTTTTCAGAGCTATAAGGCTTCCAGATGAAAAAAAAATAACCTGCCAACATTTTGGTGGCATGCTCAGGATACAGTAACCGCAAGCAAACCAAAATCTTAAATGGGTTCCATGCTCACCAGAGATCGTGCAGGACAGTGTTCAGAGTCTGGACTCTGGTACTCGGTCTGGAACGGCCATCTTCCCTGTGACACATCACTCCTTTTACATCTCAGTCTCCCCACCTGTTAAATTGTCTCATGTAGATACTGACCTCATGGCAGCGAGAAGTCAGAATATAAGGCAAACTGTTTTGAGACGGAAAGCATTAAGGAAGTGCCGTCAGCGGTACAAACTCCAGTGCTTTATTAAAGCGGCCTGATGGGCGAAAAGAAAGGAGTAACGTGCAGCCACAGCAGCTCCTAACACACCCTGCTTGGGCAATAATGTGAATTCAAAGCAGTTATTCCAAATATGTATGGCTCAAAAGTCTTCCAAAATGGGGAATGAGAAGCCGGCGAGGCAACACAGAGGAGACAGAGTGGAGCCGGGAGCAAAGTTCATGCTTAATTTCTACTGACGATCATGATCAAATAGCAGGAGGTCATAAGCTAGCTCCTGGCGAACAGGCTTACTTAGACTCCGTCATTTACAGGCTCCCTCTGCCTGCCCTCCCCTTTCTTTCCAAAAAGTGGTGTCATAAAACAAGCAAGGCCAGCGGAAATATTAAACGGTGGTATTGGGGCTGGGTGGGAAAACCTCTACTTCACTTTCCTACACCGCATGATTTGCAATGCAAAGTTTGCAGGCCCACGGCTCGCGCAGTGATTCCGAGGGTTAAACCCGAGTACGGAGGGCCACAGACGCGAGGCATCGCGCACGCCAAGCACGGTCGCGTCACTGGGAACATCTTGAACTTATTTTGGCTTGTGGCATTTGGGTGCATCCATGAAACACAGCCATCTCCACTCCGATCGAAGGGTGGGCGTGGCAGCTACCTTTCTTCTAAGAAAGCAGGAAATATTAAATCTAAATCAGTTGCACGCACAGATAACCACAAGTTGTGAACCACCTGAAGTCACCCAACTAACCGTCCCGGGACGCGTGGTCACTCACTCGAAGAATAAGAGAATAAAAGATGGAATCGGCTGAGCTGAGCCCATCGGCCTCACGAAAGCTGCTCTACCGGGTAAAAACGCGTGATGGGGTAGGGGCTGGGAAGGTGCAGCTGGTGATTCGAGACATATGGGCAAAACCCACCCGGTTCACCGTCCTCAGCAGAGCCACTGCTTCCCTAACTGAATCAATAGGCACGCAAGAAATGCAAACAGCTCGCAGAGCTGCAAATAAAGACAGCCTGCAGCATAGTGCCCGAGAGCTGGCACTGCTAGGGTGTCCGGGCTCAGACCCGCACCCACAGGACGGAAACCGAATTTTACCCTACCTCCGAGTGCGTGCATTTTAGAGCTGAAATCGGTGGCCAAGCAGAAGCGAGAAAATAGGCCGAGAGAACAATGACCTGGAAAAGGACCGGAGCTCCCTTCCTTCTGCCGGGGCTCGAGCCCAGAGACCAGACTGGGTCGCCCAGCTCGAAGGAAGGGTGGAATAACACCCGGCAGCTGCGGGAATTCTCCTCCCAGCCAAAGCGCTGCTCGGGAACGAGCGTAACCCGCTTCACACCAGCGAGGATTTCAGTACCGTAGGGCGCGGCGACGTTCCCGGCACTCGCTCTAGCGTGCCCGCAAACCGGCAGCGCCACGAAGGCCAGAGGAACGCGCCGGCCTCCGCGCGACGTGACGCTGACCCCGAAGGGCAGGCTGCCGGGCAGGGGATGTCGGGGGCCGGCGGGCCAACCTTCCCCCCGCGACCCCACCACAGGGGACGAGTCGCCCCGCCGCGGGCCCCCTCCCGCTCACCGATCTGCCCGATGAACTCCACTTTGATGCCCTGGTGCTCCAGCCGCTTGTTGGGGTTCTTGAGGGTGAGGACCACCCGCCCGGAGACCGTCTCCCCGTCGTAGAAGAGGAAGTATTTCTCCTTCTTGCCTTCCTCCGTCTTGTGCTCCACCCGCCGCCGGCTCTCGGCGTCGCTCAGCACCAGCTCCAGCTCCGCGCTCTGCCCGAACCCGAAGAAGCTCATGGCACCGGGAGGGGAGGGGGGGGGGCGGTGGCGGCGGCCGCGGACCCCGCCGGGG